TTGCAGTTTTCCTATAACACCAAGATTCTTGGCTCAATCATTCATTGAAGCACCCTTGGAAAAGAGCTGGCACTCTTGTCCTTTTTATCCCAAGGGTCTCCCGGGGCTTGCTGCACTCTCCTCTACCCTGAAAGGCAGCCTGCTTTGAATGTCCTAGCCCTGTGAGATCACACAGATCCCCCTGAGACCCATCAGTCTTCTTGTGGCCACCAAAATTTGGGGAGGCATTGGGAAATAGTGAAGTAGGGACTAGTGACAAGAAGACTGAAGGGCTGCAGCTCCCTGGGGATGACAAAGGCACACAATGGGTAGAAAAACAGCATGTTACTCACCACTTGGCTCAGGTTGAGGTCAGGGATTATAATCCCAAAGCGGGTGGCAGCCCAGTGCTCTGTGATTAAGAAACTCCCAGGTCACTGGCAGCAGCAGAGTGTAGACTTGCTACAGTAGAGAAGCTCCTCACCAGTTCTAGAGTCCCCAGTTTGGAGGAGGAAAAACACAAACCCCACCTACCCTTTCCACAGGGCTTCAAATTCCTGGGGGTTGATCCTTGCTAAAATGTTGCTTCTTCCTGTCCTGCTCTGCAACTTCTTCCTGTTGAATTTCTGATAGTTTCTGGAACTGTTTCCTTCAGAATCACACTTGGCCTATGTTTTTTTCCATCAAAACTCCCCCTTCTTTCTGAGATGATCTGGCAACCAATGTCTCTAGTCAGCTATCTTGCCTCCCCTCCTTCCCCTGGGATTTTAATAGAGCCTATATTGAATCTGTAGATCATTCTGTTGCCAGAACAAGGAGTCCATCCTCCTGACACCCAAGGTAATCCACGGAGAAGTGGATAAGAGTTCAACAGTATCACTTTTATTTACAGAAAAACCAGAAAAGCTGGTGAACAGCATGGATGTTTATCTCCCCAAAGTATTGCTCTGCCATCGTGCTTCATTCTGGTATTTTTATGCCTTCACAGTAAAACCATACAGTGATGTTATTATTCAGCATGGTATACATTAAACAAATCCTCCCCTCATAAGTTATAAAGTCAAATATCTCTTGTTTGCAAGGTGGCTGTATCTGTAAAGTATTTTTAGTTAGACTAAATTTACAGCCAGTTAAGGCTTCATTGAGTGCATGAGAGTGCCCTGGGTCCTTGACCGGTACCATGGAGTCCAGTTTCCCAGCTTATCTATGATTGTAGGTAGGCCTTAGAAGTGAATTAACATTCACATTGCATATCGAAGCAGTACCCTGAACCCCATAAATGCATCAATGTACAAAGCTATAACTAATAAAAAATAAATTAAAAAAAGTGAATACACCATCTCCAGAGGTCGCCACATAGGCTCAGCTGGTCTTGTTAGGGCCTGACCAGCATTACCTGCCTGAAATGGCCATTCAGGTTAACAGTGGCTAACAATGTGGAGTAGTATGAATATTTTAACAATATTAATTCTTCCAGTTATCAACACAGAATGTCTTTTCATTTATTTGAATTTACTTTAATTTTTTTCCTCAGTGTTTTACAGTTTTAAGTGTACAAGCTTTTCTTTTCTTTCTTTTTTGTTTTTGGAGACAGAGTCTCATTTTGTTGCCCTTGGTAGAGTGCTATGGAGTCATAGTTCACAGCAACCTCAAACTCTTGGGCTTAATAGATCCTCTTGCCTCAACCTCCTGAGTAGCTGGGACTACGGGTGCCCACCACAACACCTGACTAAATTTAGAGATGGGGTCTCGCTCTTGCTTAGGCTGGTCTTGAACTCATGAGCTCAAGTGATCCACTGGCCTTGGCCTTCCAGAGTGCTAGGATTATAGGCATGAGCCGCCACACCCAGCCCAGTGTATAGGTTTTTCACCTTCTTGGTTATGTTTATTCCTAAGTATTTTATTCTTTTTGATTCTATTGTAAATGGAATTTTTTTAAATTTCCTTTTTTTGGCAATTCATTGTTAGTGTATAGAAACATGACTGATTTTTTGGATGTTGATTTTGTTTACTGGAATTTTGATGAATTCATTTATTAGTTTTAACAGTTTTTTGGGGGGACTCTTTAGCATTTTATATATATCTATAAGATTATGTCATATAGATAATTATGCAAATAGATAATTTTACTTTTCCCTTTCTGATTTAGAGGCTCCCTTTTTTCGCTTGTCTAATTGCTCTCATTAAGACTTTCAGTACTATGTTGAGTAGATACGGTGAGAGTGCATATCATTTTCTTTTCAAGAACTTAGAGGAAAAGCTTTCACCAATGACTAAGATGTTAACTTAAATTTTCATATATGGCCTTTATTTTGTTGAGTTAAATTCCTTCTATACATAATTTGTTGAGAGTTTTATTACCAAATGGTGTTGAATTTTGTCAAATACTTTTTTAGCATCTATTGACATGATCATGTGATTTTTATTCTTTAATCTGTTAATGTGGTATAACACATTGTTTGGTTTGAGTATGCTGGCTCATCCTTGCATTAATGGGATAATTTCTTCTTGGTCATGGTGTATCATCCCTTTAATGTGCTATTGAATTTGGTTTGCTGATATTTGGCTGAAAGTTTTTGATTCATCAGGAATATTGACTTGTAATTTTCTTTTTCTTTCTTTCTTTTCTTTCTTTTTTTTTTTTTTTGAGATAGAGTCTCATTGGTCTGTTTCCCCAGGCTGGAGTGCCCTGACATCAGCCTAACTCACAGCAACCTCACACTGGGTTTGAGGGATCCTCCTGCCTCAGTCTCCCCTGAGTAGCTAGGAGAACAGATGCATATCAATGTGCTCAGCTAATTTTTCTATTTTTAGTAGAGATGGGGGTCTCGCTCTTGCTAAGGCTGGCCCCAAACTCCCAAGCTCAAGGGATCCTTCCACCTCGGCCTCTCAGAATCCTAGGATTACACGTATGAGCCATTGGCCTGGCCATAATTTCTTTTTTTTTTAAATGGATTTCTTATTTTTGGTTTTCAGGGTGATACTGGCCTCTTAAAAAGAGTTTGGAAACATACCTTCCTATGTATTTTTGGAGAGTTTAAGAAGATTGATATTTATTCTTTAAATATTTGGTAGAATTTAACTGTGAAGCCACCTGGTGCTGGATTTTTCTTTGTTGGAAAGTTTTTGATTACTAATTCAATTTCCTTGTTATTGGTCTATTTAGCCCTTCTATTTCTTTATAATTCAGCCTTGGTTAGTTGTATGTTTCTAGGAACTTATCCATTTCTTTAGGTTGTCCGTTTTTTGGGTGTATAATTATTTATAGTCATCTCTTATGATCATTTGTATTATATTTTTGTGGCATTACTTGTGATGTTTCTTCTTCCATTTCTGATTTTATTTATTAAAGTCTTTTCTCTCTTTTTTTTCCTCCTTAATTAGTCTAGTTAAGGGTTTGGTGATTTCGTGGGAAGTTTTCTGTTTATCAGTTTATTTACTTGTAATAGGTCTATTCAGATTTTCTATTTCTTTTTGAGTTTTTTTTTTTTTTTGGTAGTTTGTATGTTTCTAGAAATTTGTCTATTTCATCTAGGGTATCTAACTTATTGGTATAGAATTCTTCATACTATTATCTTATACTCTTTTTTATTTCTGAACTGTCAGTAACAATTTCCCCTCTCTGATTCCTGGTTTAAGTAATTTGAGTCTTCTCTCATTTTTTCTTGGTCAGGCTGTTTAAAGGTTTGTCAATTTTATTTATCTTTTTTTCAAAAAAAACACTGGTTTAGTTGATTTTCTCTATTGTTTTCATGTTCTCTTTTTCACTTATTTTCACTGTAATCTTTGTTTGTTCCTTCCTGCACTTGTTTTGTGTTTGGCTGGCTCTCTTTTTCTAGTTTCCTATGATGAAAGGTTAGAGAACATACTTCGTATGAATCAATCTCTTTAAATTCACTAAGAAGTACTTTCTGGCTTACGAAATGATATACGTAGAGAATGTTCCTTGTTCACTTGATAAAAATCTGTGTTTGGATACTGTTGTATGCAGTGTTCTAAAGGTATTTGTTAGATATACTTGTATTATATTGTTTGTCAAGTCTTCCACTTCCTTGTTAATGTCATGTCCAGTTGTTCTATCCATTATTGAAGGTGCAATCTTGAAATTTCCCAACTAGGGAATAATTCCCGCCCCCCCACTCCCACCAAGTAGCTGCAACTACAGCCATGCACCACCATACCTAGCTAGCTTTTTTATTTTTGCTTTTTGAGACAGAATCTTGCTGTGTTGCCCAGGCTGGTCTTGAATTTCTGGCCTCAAACCAGCCTTCTGTCTCAGGCTCCCAAAGCGCTGGAATTACAGGCATGTACCATCATGCCTGGCTGGGAATATAGCTTTTAGTAAAAATGAGATTGCTTTTATTGGTGGCCATTGCCCCCCAAATTATCTTAAAATATTTTTGAGCAGAAGCAATATTAAAACAAAGGTATAATTCTCAAAGGTGATTGATTTGCAGTGAAAATGCATATGTTTGTGTTATCTTGTTGAAGAATTTTTCCTGATCCTTTGGAGGAAAGGAATTTCTTTTTCTTCTGTACCATGTCAGCAATTTATTTAGGCACTTCGTGATGGTATTAAATCATTTGTCCATTTAGCTTGTCTTCTTTAGAGTGGTTTCAGCTCTTCAAAGGATAAGAACTTTACAACACCAGCCCCATTTATTTCAGAATAAATGTTAAGAAGAAACAGCATCACTATCAAGCCAAATAAGGGTATGAGGCCAAGCATATTATTTTATATTGTGGTTAAGAATATGGATGCTGGAGGCAGAATAACTGGGTTTGAAGGTGGACTTTGTCACTTACCATGTATTAACTGCTTAGTAAAGTTATCAGTCTTCCCAAGTTTCAATTTTCTTATCTGTTAAGTGGAGGTAATAATGGCATCTTCCTGCTAGAGTTGTTGTCATGAGCAAGTGAAATAATCTAATAATGTTGCTAAGTGGCATGGATAAGGGCCAGGTACTCAGTAAAAGCTCAGTTAACAAAAAACGGTCATAATCATTATTATGGCCTCCTACCTGGACAATGTAAGGTGGCAATGGTTTCCCCAGAGAACCTGGCTTCAATTTCATTCTTTTGGAAGTAGCACAAAGTAGACCCTGTTTAAAGAAATGTAGGCAAGGTTTTTGTCTTTAAAAAAGCAATGAATTAATGGATCTAGTCATTGATCACCAATGGCTACTGTCATCATGAAAAAGAAATAATTATATACTATGTACCTTTAGATGGAGGAACACCATATGACTTAAGGAGTAGTCTTGGGCACCCCAAAACCCCCAAATCAAACAGCCATCAATTAAATATCTAGGTATATTTACCAATTTTTAGGAAATGCAGAGAAATAGAGGAGAATGTCCAACAACACTGTAGGAATGCAGTTAACAAAATCCAAGCTGTGAAATAGTAAAAAAGGACCAACAACTCTTTAAGTAAAAAAATTACAAAACAAAAAGAGGTAATGATAAAATTCACAGATTAAAAGATATGTAAAGGACTTGTCAACTAATCATAATGTATAGTCCTGATTGGAACAAATGGTAAATTAGAAAACACTCAAGACTTGTATGGTGTATAAAAATGTGAACAGTGGATATTTAATGATAAGAGGGAATTATTGTTAACTTTTAGGTATAATAGTAGAATTTTTTACTAGAACTATCTTTGAATAAAATATGATTCCTGAGGTTAGTTTAGAGTATTGATGTTAGGATAAACCATAAGGTAATAATTGTTGAAATTGATCAATAGATATAAGAGAATTCAATGTGCAATTTAATCTATTTTTGTATATCTTTGAGATTTTCCATAATAATATTTCAAAAATAGGTGATTGTTTTGAGACACTGAGAGATACTTTAGCATAGCACATGGGGCACTCTAGAAAGAGCACAGGTATTTTTCTTGGAGGACATGAGAACTGGTTCTTGTATGAGTCAATCATGGATGTGTAATGAGATGGAGAAACTTTTATTTATTAGAATTTCACAACAATCAGTGAAGATGGGTGATCCTGGAGAGCTTGGTTTCCATAAAGAAACAGTCCAAATGGAGCACTTATACTAAATTTCCTGGAGGGCTAAGTATTATGGAAAAGTTTAGAGGTTCAAATTCCTGTATGGTAAGATAGAATGTTCAGTCAGCAAGATGGCAGGAGGGAGCGTATGATGGCATTTCTCTCCATTTTGCCCCCGTCTATATTCCTTTCATGAATTCACAAATGTGATTTGCTCTCTTGTGGAAAACAGTAAGAGACAAATATCTGTGTACCAGTTGGAATCTGACAAACTGAGCCAGCACACACAATGCAGAAAAAGAAGAGGGAATCATGTGGGAAAAAGCTCAGCATTCACAAAAGTCCTGGTCAAAAGGAGCCCTGCATGACTACAGATATTTGGATTTGGAGGTTCAGATTCCAAGGAATAGGGAGGCCCACAGGTGACTTCCAGGACAGATATAATATACATACTAGAGTAATGATTGATTTCATTCACTTTATTTTACAACTCTGGTGCTATAGCTTTTGCATTTGCTGGTATCTCTACCCCAAACACTCCTTCCACCCTCTCTTTTTCCTGTCTCTGCTTCAAGGTCACTTCCTCCAAGAGGCTAGTTCTCTTTCCCTTTCACACATTTCCAGTGTAACCTATGTTTCTACATCATCACACTTACCCCACTATACCTGTATTACAATGGCCTGCATTACTTGATTGTACATATTTGAGGACAGGGATTGTTTGTGTTGCACATGGTTATTTCTCCAGGACATATTGCAGAGTCTTACAACATAAAAGAGACAATATTTCATTGTGTTTACATGATGTTAACAAATTGGGGCCGCTAGATTTTTAAGGTTTTTGAGGATGGCCATAGGGATCTCCCTGTAGTGGCCTGTATAACTATTGTTTGTTTCTATCCCCCAAACCTTCCCATTTTTTACTTTATGGTTCCATTAAGAAGTCTTCCTTTCCTCCATATAATTCTAGTCAGACTACTAGTTATGGTCCTGCAACTCCACCCTTTGGGATATACAAATGTCTCTGTTGGGCCCCTTAAGTCATAGTTCCAGGGAAAGGCATTTGACAGAAGTCTGTTTGTGTTATCTTGTTGAAGAATTTCCCCTGATCCTTCAAGAAGGCTATTTGGACCTTGTCCAGAAGGGATGTGACTCTAGCATTGCTGGTAGCCATTTTTATCTGCTTTAGGAAAGAAATCTATCAGAGAACAGCTCAAAGGAAAAATCAGATGAAGAGATTGAGAGGGAAAGAAAAAAAGAGAGATATGATGTTTTAAGTGTTACTATTTTTAGTCTCAAAGGTTTTGGCTCTTCCAATCATTCATTCCATAAGCCACCTTGATGGTCTTCCTGGCAAAATGGATTTATAATTCTCCCTTTCTGCTCAGCCTTGTTTTAAAAATGAGTTTCTATCACTTGCATCCTAAACAATGCTTGCTCACACAAGGCCAGTATTTACAATTTAGCTGTTGTCAGTATTTTACAATTAAATGGAAGATGCGCATTTTTTGATATGCATGTTGCCTAACTAACTAGAAACACCCAGTTTATTAAGTGTTGCTGGAATCATATCAACTAAGTGTGACAACCTTGCTTGTTTCAGATGCTCTGAGTATTAGTTATATTTGTATTAATCCTTTAGGAAAAGAAGGCTAAAGTCAAAATCAATATGGCCTAAGAAGTGCTATTTCCTCACTAGATGGAATCTTTCACAACATGAGATTAGTAGGAAAACACAATGTACTATGTCCTGGGTGGTGAAAATGTCAATTCTTTGGGCTAAAGTGGATCTATGAGAATGCTATAGAAAGAATCTGAGTTGGAACTGGGACATTTCTCAAGTTCCTTCTTTCATAGTTTTGAATTACAGCCTCTCTGCTAATGTGTGAGATTTTGAAGATTTGAATCCTATATTGTTAAATTTTTTTGGCTTTCTAAGTGAGGGAATTTCGTGAGCTACTCAGAACCACATGGCTCTACCAGGGTCCTCAGACTATTAACATAGACCTCTCCCCAGAGCCTGGGCAGTCAATTTAGACTGCTTTAAACTTCTTCCAGGCAGGCTGAGGTCTTCCCCCTTACCACAGAATACCTTTGGAAGTATAAGGTCAGAACTAAGTCCTATAAAAAGGCTTTGATATTACCAAGATTATGGAGTTTTCTTCTTAGTGTAATTCATAAAAGCAGTAGTACTCAATAAAACAAATGTAAGAAATTCCAACAAAATTCTTTTTTTCCCATGTTGGCTATTTCAATGTTTTTTAAAATGTTGGATATTAAATTCTTTCAGAAATATTTTGTGTGTTTCTGCTTCTCAAGTATCCTGTTTTATGGACCATTGAGCAGTTGCTGAAATTAACTCAGGCAGCATCTCCCTGTTTTCTTTTGCTCTATCCACCTACAAAACACTGAGACTGATTCATGAAAAACTTAGCAGCCAGCCCTATGTACCAGCTCTCACCTTTCTACTATCTGCAGTATATCCAGTATTAAGCTTCTTTATTTATGTCTCTTTTTGAACATTTTACCCTCATGTTGCAGGAACAGGGCTGTTTCTTCCCTGACCCTTTCTCTCCCTTCACAATCTTTTCATAGTTTCTTCTAGGAAGAGCATTGATTGAATGGTGGCTAAAAAGCTCTTCTTCTTCTACATATACACCTTCTACATTCTTTTCCAAATTTTCTCTTAACCATTTGCCTTTCCAGAGATCCAGCTCTTCCATGAGAAGAGGTTACTACTTTTCCCTTCTAAGGGAAGGCTGTTGATTCTTCTATACTCTGTGTGTTGGGCATCCTCTCAGCTCCCAATACCATCTCCTGACCATTACTCTTCTGATCCTATGTACAGTCCCCAGGCTATTTACCTTTACTACCCTTTACTCCTTATTATAATTTACCAACTCCCCAGTCATTTCTTACCCATTAAAGATTTCAACATTAAGTTCATGACCCTTCTTTTTGTTCCATGTACCACTATCATCCTGAGTGCTTCCTACATCCATATGGATATCAGTTCAACATCCTGGTCTCTTTCTTCCTTGACCCTTATCTCCAGGGAATTTCATAATACTTAATACACTTGTGACTATGCCCTTGAATTTGGCACCACCTGTAAATGTTCTACTGCTGAAATATTAAGTTTATGCACTTCAGTTTTTGACTACTAGTGCTAGTATTTCCCCTTCCACTCCCCCCACCCCCAATTCACATGTTAAAACTCACTCCTTAATATGATAATATTTGGAGATGTGGACTTTAGGCAGGTAACTGGGTTTATTCAGATCAAGTCATGAGGATGAGGCCCTCATGATGGGATTAGTGCCCTTATAAGAAGAACCACCAAAGAGGGTGGTCTCTCTATCTCTCTCTGTAATGTGAGAACAGAATGAGAAGTCAGCAGTCTATAATTCAGAATAGGGTCCTCACCACAATTAGAACATTCTGGCACCCTGATTTTGACTTCCATCCTTTAGCTTTCTGCATTTTCAGTGTGTGCCTAGTGCTTTAACAATGTGCTTACATAGTGAATGCACAAGTTTGGTTATCTGGGTGAATGGTGATTCAGCATCAACTTACAGTTTCTGTCTGCCCATAACCTTCATAGATGTCCAGCTTAGTGATGCGTTTCCAGTCTTCCATCACCCCAGGGCTGATGGGTCCTCCTGTAGCCACACAATGCTTCAGGCTCTTGAATCTGTGGCTGGAGAGGCATCAACAGTTGTTGTTAGACTTGGTGAATATTTCTACCAATAATAGGTCTGTTGTAAGAAAGAATCTTGGAAAAATGATGCAGGGTTTTTCTGCTTATGTTCTTCTCTGCATGTCTGCACAAAGAAGGCATAGGCAGACATCTTGCCTTTTGGTTTCTCGGGGTCACCTTTAGCCATCTTGCCTGTATTGTTTGCTAGTCGCTGTTTAAATTTTTAAATGCTTTTATTTTAAAGGTAAGAGAAATAATCTGGACATTTCTTGTGATGATATGTTGATTAATAGAGATATGCTGTATTTGAATGCAAACATTTTTAACTGCTCTATAATATGCCAACAAACTAGGCATTTTTTTTTTTTTTTGAGACAGAGTTTGACTATATTGCCCTTGGTAGAGCACCTGGAGTCAGAGCTCACAGCAACCTCAAACTCTTGAGCTTAAGCAATTCTCTTGCCTCAGCCTCCCAAGTAGCTGGGACTACAGGAGCTCATCACAATGCCTGGCTATTTTTTTGTTGTTATTGTCACTGTTGTTTGGCAGGCCTGGGCTGGGTTTGAACCTGACAGCCCCTGTGTATGTGGCCAGCACCCTAGCCGCTGAGCTACAGGCGCAAAGCCCCAACTAGGCATTTTCTAATGTCCACATTGTTTGCTACCACAAATGCTTCCTTCTGTAGCATATGTTTCCTTCTTCACACAGCTAAAGTGAAATTTGGTAAAATGATTATTTAGCAAATTCTAAAGGTTGATACAATGCTTTGGAACCTGTGATATCTCATTAATCTTTATTGATTATAATTGGCAATTCTACTTCTCAGTGAGTACTCTAGAGTATTCTATGATATGAACAAAGACGCTCATTTCATCAGTTTGTTGGCATTTTATGGAGCAGTTAAAAATAGTTATGCTCAAACACAGCATATCTCTATTAATCAACATGCTATCACAAGAAATGCCCAGATTATTTCTTATACTTTTATTTATTTTTCTTATACTTTTAAAAGAAAAGTATTTAAAAGTATAAAAATAGTCAACTCTCAATTGCAAAAGATCCAAATATTTTTATAAGTACTTGATTCCTTAAAACACCATGCATTCTGAGGAACACTATGCAAAGATTAAAGATATATTACACATATTATATCATAAATAGAGATCTAAGGAACAGTATGGAATGAAAACTGCAAGTTTTACCTTAATATAGGTATATACTATGATACCATCTATATAATGGTATCCCCAGTATTATAATATATTTATATGGGGATAGAAAGATATTCATGCAAATTTGTTTTAAAAGGCCTAGAAAGATTTATATCCAGTAGAAGAGGTCATCTTTGTCTTTAATGTTCACCTTTGTTTTAACAGGCAATGTATTTGGTGTTTTTTTGTTATTTATTTATTTATTTTGAACATGGAGTCTTACTTTGTCACCCTTGGTAGGGTGCTGTGTGGCATCATAGCTCACAGCAACCTCAAACTCCTGAGTTCAAGAAATCCTCTTGCCTCATCCTCCCAAGTAGCTGGGACCACAGGTACCCACCACAATGCCCTTGCTATTTTTCTTCTTTTATTAAATTATAGCTGTGTACATTAAATGTATTTGTTTTTAATGTTTATCTTCTTAAAGGAAAGTATAATTACAAATTAAGTGAACTGACCCAACCTTTTGATAACAATTAAATTTTATATCCTGGACTCCTGTGGGGCTAGAAGATACAGACTTCAAAAATCACAAGAGAATGAAAAATCCCACACCTTAATGAAGTTATTGCCATAAATAGCAATAAGGCAGATAAATTGAGGGTTCCTGATCTCATCCCATGGGTGGAGATGGACACTTTTCTGAGAGATCCTGTCTTACCTGGAGAGGTACTTATATTGAAGCAGTTCCTGGTACATTGCTGGACTTCCAGATAGAGTGGTGATGGGAAACCTGGACAGGGCCTGGGCCCCAAAGGAAGGAAAAATCAAATCTGTATGTGAAGATGAAAATGACAATAGGCTCTTGGGGGAAAAGGACCAGGGAAGAAGATCTAACTTTGAGACTCAGCTAGGGCAAATCCTTTGTCTTGAGGATTCAGCAATTCTTCAGTCCATAGGCATGAGCCTTGGAAGACAAGTTAGCTTTAGTAAACTGAATCTAGGAGTTATGTTAATTATCTGATAACTGAATAGATACAAAAAACTCACTTGTTTAGATCTTTGTTGCTTTGAATAATAAACCTGGATGTCAGCAGTAAAATTTGGGATTGTGGAAGCAGTTTAGGTGAAAGCAAAGTAGTTTAGAGATTGTGCCCTAGAGTTGAACAGACAAAGGTTTGATTCCTGCTTCCATCTCTGCTGTTCCTTGGGCTAGCTATTTAATCTCTCTGAGCCTCAGTTTCCCTAATCCTACCTCCACGGTTGTTGGGGAGTTGAAATGAAATAATACATAAAACATGCCAGTAAGTAATCAATAAAAGGTAGTGGACATTATCATCATCTTCATTGTCATTATTGCCTTTTGAAAGTTTCTTTATCAGTACTACAGCTAAAGTAGCCACATCCTCCTAATTCCAAAGGGCCTAGAGAAGTGAGAGAAAATTTCTCTCAGAAGTAGGGAGAACATCTTCAATATTACATTCCAAGTTTGTTTCTTAATTCACCCATTTTTGGTATGAGTTATGGGCACGCTAATGCCTCCCTTGGGCCTTTGTCCCATACAACCCACACAAGCAACTGGTCTTACGTATAGAACAGTCTCTGGGCAAAAGGTCGGCATGTGGTACAGGAACACACAAGCTCCTTGGAGCCAAGCTCCCAAGACAATGCTCAGGGGTAAACTTCCACCAAAGGCATCACCCAGATTCCACAAGACATCTGTTTGCTGGAAGTCCATCCACTGTCTAAACAGAAAGAGGAAAAACATCTGAATTCTCTCCTGTTCATACTAACAACAATAATACATTAATACTTTCTATCATCAAGTACTGAGACACGTAATTTTCATAAACGGAGACCACCCAAATGAGAATGAGGAAAGACTACTTGTGACAACATGAGGCCAATGGAATCTCCAGTATCTGTCTTAATGGACATGACATTGCCTTCTAGGTCCCATGGTTTTAGGGGGTCATGGAAGTTCTTCAGTAGGCAATTTTATTAATTAATGGATTGAATAAATGATCTCAGTTTCTTCTAATTCTTCTAATTATTATTTCTAATAATTCTAATCTATTACTTGATTTCCGCTAGCCAATATAGCACATGACAGTCAAAAACTTTGAGATGAGGGTAGACAGCACATATACCTATTTCCCCATAAGAGACCCTTGGATAGCATTTGTTAAGAGAACCTGAGTGTGAAGTCAATACATGACCATTTATTTTAGGAAGACAAACCAAACTAAAACAAACCCATTACTTCATTGGATGTTCAACCAGAGAGATTGAAACCAAGTTCAGTGCTGGAGGAAAAATTGACAATACTAGATTAGACAAGAGATAGTACAGTATCCATAAGCTATTTTTTAAAAAATATTTTAAACTTTTATTTGTAACTAGTGAAATTATAGACTATTTTTGTACTATTGAGTATTTTTTTTCAAAATAAGTTACTAACTAACATGTAGAAATTAGTAGCCTTCATATACATAGTCAATAACCAATTACAGGGTGTAAGAGTAGAGAAGGCCCATTTACATACAATACTACCAAGAACTTAAAATGTTGGGGGAAATTTACTAATAAATATGCAAAATCTGCATTAGAAAAACATTAAAATACTTCTGAAGATATAAAATAGACCTGAATAAATAGAAAGACATGAAGATACAACTTCTTACAGATATCAATTCTCTCTAAGTTGATTTATAAAAGTAATGCAATATTAATAAAAATGCCAATAAGTTTTTTAATGGAACCAGATTGGAAAATATGATGCTAAACTTCATGTAGAAAACTAAACATATTGAATTATTCATAAAAACACTAAAAAGAAAAGCTGTGATGGAGAAGTGACTAGCCTTACCAGGCATTAAAACACTATATAACTACTACAATAAAAATAATACAGTATTGGTGCATAAATAGATCAGTCAAATGTAATAGAAATTTTAAAAATAGAGTTAACTATACATTAAACTTCAGTACATGATAAAAATGGCATTTCAAGACACTACAGCAAAAAATGGACTTATTTAATGGAGCTGGGACTACTGTTTAGCCATCTGAGAAAAGTAATGCACAAGTTGAATTCTGTTACATAGATACACTGTATAGTGGTGAAATCAGGGCTTGTGGTGGCTAGTACTTTTATGGTTTCATTCTTTATATTTAGATCTAATCCATTGGGTCTAATCCATTTGGAGGAGTGTAGGTATGTTGCAAGGTGTATAGATTTAGTTTTAACTTTTCTCAGATGGCTAAACAGTTGTTCCGACTCCATTAAATAAGTCCACGAGCTATTCAAATAATTGTTTTTTTAAAAGGGTAATGTTAAGACATGTAATTTTCATCTTAGAGGCTGACTCTAGAATCCAAACCTCTCATGTTTGTGACTCCGTCTGTCTCTATATATCACTACATATAGTGGTCAACATAATTGTTCACCATGGTTATAGTATTATAGTGTAGAAAACAGCACATAACAGCATGTCTTTTAGGTAATCACCCCACATCCCTTCCCAGCTACATGGATTCGCTGTTCCTTCTCTTTTTTCCACAGATTCTTGATTCTTAAATTTTTGGCTTAGAGTAATTTGTTTTTGATCTTTTCATGTACATCATCCACTCTGCTTTTCAGCCTTCTCTCAATATTGACACTTTCTACAGTCATGAGTGAGAAATACCTTTCTTAGCTTTAGTTTAATGAAACTCTCCCTTTATCCATAAGAGAGAAGCTTTAGACCTGTATGGGCTATTGTAAGGACTGTACCTTGCAGCCTGGCTGAATTCCATTCCCAAACCATACTGGGAATACTTGACCAGTTTGGGAGCTCCGATTATCCTGTTGTTAATGAATATGGCCATTGGATCTTGACTCTTGGTCCCGATGCAGGTCTGCTTTGGAGGGGCAAGTCTGTAAGTCATAAAAGTGGCGACAGTGAGTTCTAAATTGAAGTTTTCTGATTAGGTTCCTAGGCCCCTGGTTTGATAATCTTCTTTTTGAAAACAACAGCTCATATTTTGGTACATTGGGAGATAATTTGTTATGGGGGAAAATACAATGTTTTCCTTCAAAAATTTTTTGTACTGATTTTTGTTGCATAAGAAATATATGATGTATTTATGCTCCAGCTTTGTTTTTTCTCACTAAATGAACCCTCTATTTAACTGCTCAAAACTTAATATGGTAGTCCCCCCCTCATCCAAAGGGGATGTGTTCCAAGACCCCCAAGGGATGCTTAAAACCGGAATAGCAGTAAACCCGGTTATACACTCTTTTTTCCTATGCATACATACTTATGAGATCAAGTTTAACTTATACATTAGGCACAGTAAGAAATTAACAATAATAAGTAATAATAAATAATAATAAAACAGAACAGTTATAACCATATACTATAGTATAAGTTGTGAATGTGGTGTGCCTCTTTCTCTCCCTCTTTCTGAAAAACCATAGATAAGGAGGGACTACGGTATTTGGCTAACCTGAGGATACATGGCATCAGCTTATTATTTTAACTATATCCCAGTGAAGATCAATGTTTTTGGTTTTTTTTAATGTATTTATCATCTATGTTTCTATCACCTATTTTTTTTTTAACCTTCTTCCAGAATGCACCCTTAAGTATGAATCAGGAGATGAGACTTTCACTCAGACTGGGAACTTGTTAGCCAGACCAGGGATTCTTGTGTTGGAGTGTAGTCTGATTTCAGGACTAGAATTTGCTGTCCAGCTTCCCATTCTGACCACTCACACCACCTTTTCATATATCTTCCCACCTTCCAAAATCAGACATCTTCTTAATTGAAGCATTTAATTTTCAGTATCCACTTACCGAATCAAGTCCCTAAAATCCAGCCACCCATCATAACTCTTATCTGACACAAGGAGCTTGGTCTTCAAGGTGGGGCAGCTGGACATGACAGAGTCCACGACTGGGGCCATAGCCTCATTGGCCACAATGCACTGAGCCTGAGATATGCATAATTGATAGATAATTTCCTTGGCAGTCAGCTGGGGGTTGCCAGGTACAAAGGAGATTCCTAAGAAAAAAACACAAAAGAGGCTTCAGTCATATTTTAAGTGGAGAATATTTTCTTAAGCATCTGGCAGGCACAGATGAGGTCTCTTGATGACTCTTTCTGGGATCTAGCTTCTCTTTTGGGCCAGCATCAAGATAGCAGGTGGGGAAGATCTGTGAAGGCCAGGAGTCTGAACTCACTGAAGCAATCTAGCAATGAGTGGTTTTGCGACCATTATCCTTTTCCTTTACACAGCCTTGGATTTGTATGGTTAGGTGTCAGGCCATTAGCTAGTTGAAATGCAGCCCAATTTTGAAACTGTGATATAATGGGATTATGGAAACTTCTCTTTGTTGTTCCTTCTGTGCTTGAGAATTGCTTGTGCTGTGGATTCCTGGATTCGCAGTGGAGACAAAAGTTCCTTCTCTTCTTGGGCTGTCTCTGATGATTATCTTTTATCCACCCAACATCTATGGAGGGTCTACCATGAGACTGGCACATGCTAGGGTTAATCTGTGTGCAAGAGGTTAAGATCTGTGTCATGCAGAGGCTTTCCTTGACCTCTCCACCTTGTACAAGTAGAGTACTTCTAGGATAAGGTGACCAGACATCCCGCTTTTGGCGGGACAGTCCTTATTTTTAACAATTTGTCCTGCGTCCTGTGGTGTTTTTAAAAAGTACTGATTTTTGGAAAGAATGCACGACAAGCTAGGGAATGGTGGAAGAACGGGAAGGGAATATATGGTTTTTGGCTGCCATATAGCTATTTCATCAGGATATGAGTTTTATATTATTTTTGTTAATTTTATAATGTTATGAGAGGACAAAAGTGACTCCATTTTGTAAAAAACATGCCACTGAGTAGCCTGTAGAAAGTCTCCGCCTACAAAAAGCCCTCGGTCCCAGGAAATTCTACAAATTCCGTGAAACCCTTAGAACACCCCTCCTGGAACCCAGCCAATCAGACCAACCCCTGCGACCTCTGGTAGCAATGTTCACCTGCATTTTATTCCATTCCATAAAATGCAACCCTTATAAAGAAAACAGACAATAGCGAGGCTGGGCTCTCAGCCAAGACCTGCCTGCTGTGTCAGGTTCCTGAGAGTCCAGGCTCAAGTTTAAATAAAGAGTCTTTGTTTTTGCATCGGACTTAGCTCCCTGGTGGTTTTTGGGGACTTTGCAATCTGGGCATAACAGTTAAACTTTAATAATAACAAATAATTGTTGAGAACCGATTATCAAGAACTGCTTATCAAAGTTCTCATTGTTGATCAGTTGTTAGAATTTGACCACCATTGTTTGGACTTACTAAACAATGGCATTTTTGGCATTGGAAACTATGAAAACATTTTGTAACTGTCTCTCAGACAATACACATTGTACTGCATGTTAGTGCTAGTTAAACAAGTGATGTCAACAAATCAGCTATTCAGATAATTTAGGTAATTTATTTATTTATTTCATGAATTTAGCAGACAGTACTCATATTATTTATATTTTATAGTGGCAGCAAAAAGTCTAGCAGCGGCCTTGAAAGTGACACTTACGACTTATGAGGTATCATTATTAAAAAAATATATTGATAAGGAAAAGGTTAAATCTTGGGCATCAGCAAAAATCACAATAGAGAACAAATGGTTAGAAATATTTCATCATTTTGAAACAAACCATGTTCCATACAATAATGCACTAAAAATTGTGGCATATGTGCTGTCCTTACCAGGAACTAATGCTGTGACTGAACACGTTTTTTCCTACTGTAAATAAAGTGTGCACATCAGAAAAATCACAATTAAGTGTTGAGACTTTGAAAGCCATTTTATGTGTGAAATAAAATTTAACAAATTCTTGTGAAAAATTTCGTGACCTTTTAAACAACAACAGCAATCTACTAAAAAAAATTCACTCAAATGAGAAATATGCCAAAGAATAAAATAATACTATACATATTTTTAATGTATTATATTTGTAAATTGTACTTATGTTGAAATTAAAAAATCTATATTACAATACTATTTTTGTATTTTATGAAAATTTTTGTTGCTCCATATAGATCAAATTTTTAATTAAGAACCCCCCCATCAATGGTGTCCCACTTTACCAATGTTAAAATCTGGTCACCTTATTCTAGGACCAAGTAATGATAACATTGTCTAGTAATAGTGCTTGTACATCCTACTACAGACCTACTGATTTTCAAAAAAGGATCTGGCTTAATGATGTGGACTTTCCTCATATTTTCTGCTTGTTCACCATAAAAAAAACCCACTGTTAATAATAGCCCAAACATGTAAACAACCTAAATATTCATCAACTTATGCACTGATAAACAAAACAGGGTGTAATACAATGAAGCGCTATTAATTACAAAAAGAATGGAGATCTAACAAGTACTATAACATAACTGAACCTGGAAACCATTCTTCTAAGTGGAAGAAGGCCACATATTGCATTATATTTATATAAAATGTCTGTAAAAGACAAATCCAAAGATAGAAGGTACATTAGTGTTTGCCAAGGTTTAGGGGTGGGGAGAATAGGGAGTAAAAGCTAATGCATATAGGGCTTCCTTTTGGAGGCAAGAAAAACTTTCACAATTAGATAATAGTGATAGTGCATAGCTTTGTGAATGTCTTGAAACCCACTGAATTGTGTATTTTAAAATGGTGAATTTAGTAGTATGCAAATTATATTTCAAAAACAAAAGACACAGGGACTCCAGATCTGGAATGGAACTGGGATTCATCTAATTCAAGTTCTTATAGTGATAGTGCTGATGGGAAGGTCGAGAGACAAAGTGGAAGGGACTTATTCAATGTCATCTCACAGCTCTCAAGTGATCCTTAAGCATCTAATGTTATATAGGAAATTGTATAACTGTGGGTGACACAAGACGTTAATTGCAGGTAACTTCTAACACCTTTCAAGTGTTCCTATCCTTAGATGAAGCATTTGGAGAGCAGTATCCAATAGTGTTAATTTATTTTCTCTATTGATTTGTAAGAACTCTGTCTATGTTAAGGTCATTAGCCACTTATCAGTCATATGTGTGACAAATATTTTCCCAGTGTTGGCATTTGTCTTTGCTATGGTCTGAATTTTTGTATAACCCATGAAATTCGTATGTTCAGATTCTAAACCCCAGGGTAGTGGTATTAGAAGGTGGGGCCTTTGACAGGTGATCAGGTCATGAGGGTAGAGTGCTCATGAATAAAATAAGTGCCCTTATAAAACAGGCCCCCCCTAAGCAACTGGTCATCCTTCCATTAAGTGAGGACAGAGACAAGCTAGAAGGAGCCATCTATGAATCAGAAAGTCAGCCCTCATCAGATACTGCATCTGTTATGATCTTGGACTTGCCAGCCTCCAGAACTGTGAGAAATGAAATTCTGTTGTTCATAAACCACCCAGTTTATTGTATTTTGCTATATAAGCCTGAATAAAGACAGTGTTTTAATTTCATTTGTGATACCTTAAGAAAAATATTAGAACTTCAAAGTAGATGAACTATCTAAAAAAATCATCTAACAACTCTTTCTTTTCTTTTGTTTATGGATGTAATGTTGAAATTTCTTGATTGAATTTTATCACATCACACATTTCAAAATTGGCAGAGCAACTCTGTGTTGTTACAGCAATCACTTTGCAACTGGCTGGATGCTGCCAAAAGGGCATGCCAGATTCAATCACCCAGAAACATCTCACAAATATGGAGAAAGAGAGGTGTGTGCCCTGGTCCCTTCTCCACAACAGCCATACAGAAGCTCCTTGTACATTATGGTGATTTTTTTTTCTTTTGATGAATGAAATTTCAAAAATTTTATGAAGTATAATACGTCAATTTTTTTTCTTGTTTTGGTATTTGGTATCATATCTAGAAAGTCCTTTCCTGATACCATGCATTTACCCACATTTTCTTTTAATACTTAGGTTTTCTTAAACATTTAAATTTTTAAAGGCACATTTAAAAATTTTTTGAGATAATCTTATGATTTTCTTTCATTTTGTTAATGTGGTAAATTAAATCAGTTGATTTTTCTTTTCTATGTTTCCTCTAAAATTTAAAAAATTTTTAATTATTAGTTGCATATATTTGTAGGATGCATGTGATGATTTGATGAAATTTATTTGGGTACGTTATTTGGGTTAGAGTTATGCCATTTTACTTTCCAAAGAGCTATCTTCAAATCACTGGGATGGTAGTTAAAAACAAAAAACAATAGCCTAAAAATGTGTGTTGTTCGTTCACTACAAATGTGATTTTTTTTTTTTGTCGCAAAGAAATATTAAACCAAATTTTAATGTATCCTAAAAAAAAAAAAGAATTAACACGTATTTTCTTTCTTTCTTTCTTTTTTTTCTTTTTGAGACAGAGCCTCAAGCTGTCACCTTGGGTGGAGTGCGATGGCATCATAGCTCACAGAAACCTCCAACTCCTGGGCTCAAATGATTCTCCTGCCTCCACCTCCCAAGTAGCTGGGACTATAGGCACCCACCACAATGCCTGGCTATTTTTTGGTTGCAGCCATCATTGTTGTTTGGTGGGCTGGACTGGATTTGAACCCGCCAACTCTGGTGTATGTGGCTGGTGCCTTAGCTGCTTGAGTTGCAGGTGCTGAGCCATAACATATATTTTCATTACTGGTTTGAAATGACATGACACATTCTTGAATGTACTTGGGTCTGTTTCTGAGCTTTCAATTTTGTTTTTGTTCATTTATGCTTATGCATCATTACAAAATTTATTTTTTGGCCAGGGCCAGGTTTGAAACTGCCACCTCCGGTACATGGGGCCGGTGCTCTCCTTGAGCCACAGGCACCACTCCAAAATTTAATTATTTTAAGTAAAAAACGATAGCCCTTTTTTAGACTGTTACTTATAGACTCTCTACTGGACATAGCTAAGGACATCACTCTATGTAACTTGGAGTCATATAGGAAGAGTTTCTGGTGGCCCAGACTGAAGTGGTCCATATCAGATATACTTAGTCTGTTAGGAACTGGGAAAACACCAGGAGCCAAAGTAGGCTTGAAGGCAGGGCTCACTCCCTTCCTTTCTTCCATGTGCCTCACACAACTGACAGGCGGCATTCTCAAGGACACCTGCTCTTTGGATCACTTCTTAGGGTTTTCTCATGTGGCAACCTGGTTATTAGGCAAAAATGATAGGATATGCCAGTTGTGGCAATTCATAATGATGTAAGTTTGGCCCATCTCTGGATATTTTTCTGTTCATAGGAACTAGGATAAAAAAGCTAGGTACTATAGCAGACAAAGAGGAATGATCTTAGGGGTGGGCTCTTTTCCAATATCCTTCCTTTCTCACAATTGTGATGTGCCTTATGATTGAGGGATGTCCTGCTAATGTGTTTGTGTTGTAGGAGTGAGCCTCAGAGTCGTGGATGGGATGCCCAGAAGTAGTAGCTCTATCCCAGCAGAATCCAAAGTCCGATCCTAGGCTTACTGAAGGTGATTATCAAGGAATTTCTAATACTAGACTCCTCTAAGCCCTTTAGAGATATTTCCACCTTCTTTTTTTATAGCTGGACAAACCAAAGTCCAAGAGTGCAAGGTGTGCTCCCTCAGTCTTCCTCTTTGATGCTGACTTTGTTTGGACAGAGGTCTATGTTTCCTTGCAATGACAAATGGCCTACAGGGTAACTAAACACTGTATGGGTTATTTAATCTTCACAATGATCCTTTAAGACTGCTACTCTTACTGTCTCTAGTTCGTGGACAAGGAAACTAAGGCTCAGAGAGTCATCATGTTATACAGGTAAGTGGTAGAGCTGGGACCCAAACCTAGGCCTGTTTAAAGACACCCATACTGTGGGAAGAATTCGGGCATCAGGACATCTCTCTAATATCTCCCAATTCTGTGAATGATTGAGGTTGGAATTCTAATTATCCTCCAACTGAGGGAGTCACTGGCTTATGCCTTACCCAGTCGCATGCAGGCCAGGCAGACCCAGTAAGTCTCAGGTGATGGGGGAAGGATTATCATCAGCCGGTCTCCACTGCTAAGGGCACAGGTGTCAGAGAGGATGCTGGCTGCCTTCTGGGAGAGATAAGCCATCCTTTCAAAGCTCCATTTGTCCTTTTCTCCTTTGGCATCAACCTCCCAGAGGGCAGGGGAAGGCCCTCCAATTCCATCCTAAGCAGAGTGATATTTAAAATATTGAATATTAGTCAGCATGAACACTGGATACTGGAGGCCCTGTTTGTCAGATACCATCTTGCAGAGAGGCCAGGATGCCTGGGGCATTGGAAGCATGGACTATTCTTCAACTGGTAGGAAATATTTAATGTTTAAATATTTAATGTTGAAGTATTTAATGTTTAATGTTCTGGGAGGTTCTCCCAGAACCTTCTTGGAGAACTTGGCATATGAACTAGAGAAACCAGCCCTGCCAGGGAGACAGCAAAGATTTCCTAGGGCATGAGCTTGTTAGTAGAGAAAGAGTGCCTTCCTCCTACCCCATCTGTTTCTATTCTCGACCCCAAATACACCTACTGCCCAGCAACTTATTTTTTATTGGGACAATTTGTTTTCCAATACTGTTTAACGAAGGCACAGATGGAAGTACCTACAACTTTTAAAGTGTCTCCATTATGACCGAGCCTTTCTCTCTGTGCCAAATGATGCAGGTTTCCCTCCTTCCTTCCCTGGAGAGGGAGAGAAGAAAGATTCATTTTTCTCTCCCTCCCTCTTTTCTTTTTTCCACTTATTCCTTCCTTCCTTCCTATATATCCCTTTCTGTCCTATTTCTTTCTCTCTCTCTCACTTCCTTCCCCTTCCTTTTTCCCTTCTTTCCTAACTCCCTAACTTCCTTTTTTCCTCATTACAACTTTCGTTCTCCTTCTGTTTCTCTCACTTTTTCCCCCCCACCTACCCTGAAGAAGCCCACAGAATTGCTACTCTGTTCTGATGGTTTAAAAACCTCTCATTAAAATAGTGTTGGAACATGAAGGCTATGTTAACCACTTTCATGAAGATATTTCTAATTGTATATGAAAACATCACACTGTACCCCATTGCAGTGTGTACACAGCTATCATTTAATCAAAAATATAGTATTGAAAAGAGTAAAGGGGAGGCATTCCCCAACCCCTTACCTTCATATCACCAGTAACAAAAAAAAATACAAGATTACCCCTTGATTTACCATTGATTTTCTATTTCCTTGTCAACCATATTTTGATGGGTTTGGGGGCTAGACCGTCAGTGATGATATTTTGTTTCTGTGGGCATGGGAGTTGTTTCTATTTCCTTTCTATGTTACCTTTGCAGGACCTAAGTATTAACTCTGCTCATGTCACTCAGAAACCTTCAGTAACTCCTCATGACCTATCAGATTAGGTTCAAACTCTTTGCCTTGGCCTTCAGGGCTTTCTTATTTATTTATTTATTTATCTATTTATTCATGACGGAGTCTTACTATGTCGCCCTTGGTAGAGTGCTGTGGCATCACAGCTCACAGCAACCTCAAACTCTTGGGCTTAAGTGATTCTCTTGCCTCAGCCTCCCAAGTAGCTGGGTCGACAGGCACCCACCACAACACCCAGCTATTTTTTTGTTGTTGTTGTAGTTGTCATTATTGTTTGGCAGACCCAGGCCAGGTTTGAACTGGCCAGCCTGTTTGCATGTGGCCAGCAGCCTAGCTGCTGAGCTACAGGCACTGAGTCATTTTTTAAATCTTTTTAAAGGGTGCTAGGATTTATTGAAAAATCGACTGGTAAAAATGAAAAAACAATGAAAATACCAAGAATTACCTAAGCATGGAGAAATAGGCCCTACCACAAAAGGCTGGTGAATGTGTGAATTAGTATGTGTTTTATGGGAGGCAGTCTATTAATGTGCTTACCAAATGCCTACACAGCCTCTTGACTGAGTAATTTCACTTTTAGGAATTTAAATGAAGGAAAGAAGACATATGCATAAAGATAGTTTTTTTAGCATTGCTTACAATAGCAAAAAAATGATAAATGTCTAAAAGGCATAATAATAAAGGATTTATTGAATACATAGGGAATAGATTAAATGCATTTTGGTTCAACCCTCCATTAAATATTATATAACCATGAATTATATTGAGATATTAGGTACAACATTTATTGATGTGAGAAGATTATTTTTTATTTCATATTGTTTCTATACCATATTGTTTCTGCTGCATATTGTTTCCAGGAGACAAAAAACAAGTAATGAAGAAGCATGATTCCAAGTTACAAATTATTATACACAGAATGACTCAGTTTTTACAAAGCTACGTGATCTGGAAATCTATATAAAAATTTACAATGATTGTCTTTGAGCGATATTACATACTAGTACATTCTTATGTTTATAATAAAATAATTCTATAATTAAAATGTAGAATTCTGACAATTCTATCATTAAAATGTTTTTAAATAAGTGGTTGGATTAGATGATTTGTAAAGCTCCTGCTGACTCTGATGTTTTGAGCATTTAAGACAGATGCCCCAGGCAATTTCAGCAACCCGTATTTAGTTGTGTGGCCTTTGGAGTCCAAGTCTTCGTTCAGAGCTGGAGGCCTCTGCATTCCTCTGTATTCCTCTCGCCACACTCGCTGCCCACCCATCTCCTCTTCCTGCCTGGGAGTTTCTGCTGGTCAAGGCCCAGCTTGTACCCTGTCTATAATCCGAGTTCCTGGCCAACTGTTGAGCAAAGGAACAAGTCTCAGCATGGTGACAGGTGCCATGCAGACACAAAGAGATAAAAAACACAACTCTAGCTCTAGAATCTTATTGGGATATAGGGCTCACATATAAAGAAAGAAAACCACAGGAGAGAGAAAGCTGCTCAAGCCTGGTGGGCTGGGAGGGCTTCCTAGGAAAATGCCATGCAGGAAGGGTGGGGAGCCCACTTCATGCAGGAGCACAGCTGAGCAAGGGGAAACCCACCCAATAGTCCTTTGAGATGCACGCCTCAAATCTTTCCAAGGAACCTTTGCAATTCTTGTTCTGCTGAATTTCTGTTCTTTGGCTTAAATGAGTAAACGCTAAGTCTCCTAAACAGAAGTTTTCCTTATAGTGAAACCCTGAATGTGCCATGAAAGACAATAAAAATCTTGTGGATTAAGACAATGAATTACCATTTTATCCACTTTTCTCATCCTTCCCAAAGCAGGTGATGGAGGAAAGGAGGGTCACAGAAGGCTGAGAGAAGAGAACAGTGCTTCTGTTCCACCTCGATTGCCCTGCTCCCCACTCCCATGCACTGGATTCTTCTACTAGGACCACTAGCCCTATTTGACAGATGAGAGAAATGAGCCTTGGAGAGTTAAAATGGCTTGTTCCCAGGTCTTCCAGCTAGAAAATGAAATGAGTAAGGCAACTCCACACATCAGGGCCTTTTAAATTTTAAGTTGTTCTTTGCCTTCCACCCCCTCCCCTGCATGATTCAATACTCCTCTCTATGGCCCTGTACTGAGCAAAACTTTCTTTCTCTTTTATTCTCTGAATGTTTCTACTCATTCAGTTGTTCCAGTAGACAGTGTTTTACAACATGTCTTTTTTTTTTTTTTTCTTGAGACAGAGTCTCACTCTGTTGCCCTGGGAAGAGTGCAATGTCATCATAGCTCACAACAACCTCATACTCTTGGGCTTGAGCAATCTTTTTGCCTCAGCCTCCCAAGTAGCTGGCACCACAGGCATGCACCACCATGCCCGGCTTGATTTTTCTATTTTTGGTAGATACAGGATCTTGATCTTGTTCTTGGCTGGCCTCCAACTCCTGAGCTCAAGCAATTCAGCCACCTCCATCTCCCAGAGTTCTAGGATTACAGGTGTGAGCCACCGTGCCCAGCTTTTCTCCATATCCTTTGTTGAAATCCTACTTGTTCTTCAGGATGCAGTAAACATCTCTTCCTTCACCAAATCTTTCCAACTTCCATTATCCAGGTGTGTACTTATTTCCTTTGTCACTTCCTGTCTCCTACTCTTCTGCACTATGTAGCTATCTTTTGTTAAAAATAAACAATAGTAACAAAGAAAGCCACTATACTGTAAGCTCTTTTTGTGGTTGATCTCTGAAATTTTGTATATGTTAGGAGATGTCCCCAAATGCTTAGTGATTAGAAACAAATCAGACACATATTACTCTGATAATTTTTACCAGTGATAATAAAACTTAACTTTTATTGAGTATTTATGAGCCTTCAAGTCCTGTGTTAAGTGTTTTTTATTGATTAGCTCATTTAATCTTCTCAACAATACTATGAAACAGGCCCCATTAATATCTCCATTTTACTGATAAGAAAACCAAGGTCATGGTGTATGACACACTCTTGGGGTGGGAATTAAATTATAAGAGGGACTTTATCTAACAAATGCAATTAGTGTAACCTAATTGTTTGTACCCTCAATGAATCCCAAACAAACAAAAAAGACCCCTAAACACCAAGGTTCTAGAAGCTTGCATGGTTACTTAGTGTTAGAGCCAGGATTTAAACACAAATACCTCTGGCTTTCAAGCCTGTGTTCTCAGTTACTTTGCTATAATTCTTTTCCTCCAAATTTGTATTTTCTAGTGCCAGCCATAGACAGGATTTGAATCTTGTCATCTTTGAACAACTTACATAGCTGACCTTGGCCAATATTTCAAAGTTAGAAAACAACAGGGTTTACCTTTTCCAGTTGGCACCATAGGTCAAGCACATCCTTTGCAAAATTAAAGTGCTGGGGAACTTCTTGGCCTGGGAACCTGAAGCCAGAATATTTGATGGTCTGAGCAGCAAATTTTCTCTTTGATTGGCAACAGGGTCCATATCTCACTCTGAAACACCGGACCAAAGAGGAGAGTTGAAACCTGCCCAACATTTGGGTCAAACAGTGAATTGCCTAGGTAAATTGGGGAAAAGAGAGAGAGAGAAGGTGAGTAGTTCAGAAAGAGAATCTTTGAGGTCGCAGAGAACAAATCCATAAGACCAGCAAACCTCCTTATAAACATAAGCAATAGACCACAAGAGATGAAGCACAAGAGCACAAATACTTACCAGTTCCAAGAACAGCCTCTGCAGAGGGACTTCAGATGTTGGGAGGATGGTCTAGCTGAAGCCTTCTGTCTCTTTTGAGAGCTGATTACTTCTTACAATTTAGTTGCCAAATGTGGGGTTGGAGGCATTATCTTGGCCACAGAACAAACAAAATCCTGGCCATTTCATTGGCTCCTGATACTAAAAGACAGTCCCTTTTGCTTACAGGAGGTGGGATTTTGGGCTGTGAGCTAAGTTGAAGCAACAGGTGTGTCTTACTTTTTAATATTGTGTCAGGAGAAATAGGTCACAGATTATTGTGCCAAGTGTGGAGGAAAAGATGACGATCAACAGAGAATTAAAAATTTCATTACTTACAAAATCTTCCACTGCAGAAAGGGAGAAAGGAATTGCTCATTAGCCAGAGAGATAATCCCACACCCTTGCTCTTTAATCCATTAAAATGACAGCTTTTATTTTATAAACCAGCATAAGGCCTTGGGGGTCGGGGGATTGCCTGTGTTTTTTGTTTTGTTTTGTTTTGTTTTAAAGACAGAGTCTTACTCTGTTGCTCCAGGCTGGAGAGTGCCATGGCATCAGTTTAGCTCACAGCAACCTCCTGAGTTCAAGCAATCCTGCCTCAGCCTCCTCAGTAGCTGTGACTATAGGCGTCCACAATAATGACTGGCCAATTTTTCTATTTCCAGTAGAGACAGGGTCTCACTTTTGCTCAGGTTTGTCTCGAACTCCTAAGCTCAAGAGATTCTCCTGCCTTGATCTACCAGAGTGCTAGGATTACAGGTGTGAGCCACCATCTCAACATCCCAGGTTCCATCTGTAAAGCTATTCCAGCATCATTAGGGAATTTCAGAGAGGATTTACTATCATGTCAAAGTTCCAACCAGTGGCAAGGGAGAGTGTGAAGGGGGAGGACAGGTTCTTGACCTAGGAACCTGAAGCTAGAATATTTGATGGTCTGAGCAGCAAATTCTAGGTCCTAGACTAAGTGAATGACCAGAGATTTCTACACATTACTTTTGCTCATATTCCACTGGCCCACACTTGGCTGTATGGCTATATCCAGCTTCAACAGAGGCTGGGTACTGTGATGTTTACTTTGGGCATTTATATGCTCAGCTAAGAACTGGATATTCTTTTTCCAGGAGAGAGTTAAGGGCTTGAGTACTAAGAGACAACTAATAGATTCTGTCATAGTCTGTCCACCTTTTGTTTGATCAACTAACTATTAACAAACATAGACCATTTTTCCTCATGCATAGAATATTCTCAAAGAAGCATAACCACAAGTCTCCAAGAAACTTTATATATTCCAGAAACATAATCTCAAAGTTCCAAAGAATTGCTACTTCTAACTCAAAATTCAAGATGGGGGTTATTGGTCATTATTCTCCTTTGAGGAAGGATGGAACTTCCTGTCATCTGACAAACAATAAACTAAAATGTAAGTTATCTCTACTCTCCAAACAACCTCTATTACATAAACTTGGAGCAAGTACCATAAAATTATGTTAAAAACTCCAAGACTGGAAAGAGAAGAATGAACAGCACCCAGCTGACCAGGGTCCATAGCAGTGATCAGATCCAATGATGGATTGATCAAATCAATGATGGTCAAGAAGTGTGAAAATCACCCCATCCTGGCAGTGTCTGGTTTTGCAGCCCATCTGGCCTGCCTTGATTCTGTCTCTGGGAGGCATTCCTTATTTCTTGTCACTGTGACCTCTGTCTTGCCTTCTGGAGCGTTCTTTCATGTTTATCATCCTCTGTGACCACATCTGAAATGGCCACTCGAGAATGTGCCCCTCTTGAGGACAGCATGGCTTTTGTTGCCACAGAATTGGGGCCATAGGAGTTCTATTAGGGGTCAAACTAATCTATGGTTTAAAAGGCCAGACTTATGGTTTCTTTTCCCATAAAGTCACCTCAAGCATGTGGCTTCTGGTTTACATTTATCTGTTAAATTCCATGTATAAGCAACCACAATCAAGTATTTTGTTCAAACATAGCTTTTGGGCCTGGAAGCAATGGTCTTATTTACTGGCTTCAGGGTTTCACTGATCCTCTCTACCAATTCCATGGCAGCTATCTTGAGACAATTCAAAGTTATAGGTTTGGGTGAAACAGTAATGCACTTAACCAGTTTGCCTTTGGGTTGACCTTAGAGAGGAGGTGACTGAGAAAGGTGTGTGCACACTGTCCTGCTAAAGCTATCTCTATTTCTTCCATCAGTGTGTAAAGGTCTTACATCTCTTTGGTTAAATTCATTCCTAAGTATTTATTTTTCATGCCACTGTTAATGGGATTATTCCCCCCCCCCTTTTTTTATTGCTGGGGATTCATTGAAGGTACAAGAAACCAGGTTACACTGATTGCATTTGTTAGGTAAAGTCCCTCTTACAATCATGCCTTGCCCCCAAAAGGTGTGGCACACACCAAGACCCCCCCTTCCCTCTCTCTGCTCTTCCTTTCCCCACCGCTCCCTCCTTCTTTCTCTTTCTGTTCTCCCCTTCCCCCACCCCCACTGTGGAATACAAAGAATAATGGAATCCCAAAGTGGAATACAAAGAATAATGTATTCCACTTCCATCCAGGTTAATACAAAGGCTGTAAAGTCTCCATTTTTTTAAATGACTGAATAGTATTCCATGGTATCCATATACCACAGCTTGTTAATCCATTCCTGGGTTTGTGGGCATTTAGGCTGTTTCCACATTTTGGTGATTGCAAATTGAGCTGCAGTAAATAGTCTAGTGCAAGTGTCCTTACGATGAAAGGATTTTTTTCCTTCTGGGTAGATACCCAGTAATGGAATTGCAGGATCAAATGGGAGGTCTAGCTTGAGTTCTTTGAGGGTTCTCCATACTTCCTTCCAAAAAGGTTGTATTAGTTTGCAGTCCCACCAGGAGTGTAAAAGTGTTCCCTTCTTTCCACATCCATGCCAGCATCTGCAGCTTTGAGACTTTGTGATGTGGGCCATTCTCACTGGGGTTAGGTGATATCTCAGGGTAGTTTAAATTGAGTTCTATATAGTTCCTAGTTATCAAGCCTTTGTAAGATTCATAATATGCAAATATATTTTCCCATTCCAAAGGTTGTCTTTTTGCTTTGGTTGTTTGCTTAGCTGTACAGAAACTTTTCAGTTTAATTAAGTTCCGTTTGTTTTTGTTGTTGCAATTGCCATAGAAGTCTTCTTCATAAAATCTTTCCCCAGGCTGATACCGTCACGGGTTTTCTCCACACTTTGTTTGATGCTTTTTGTTTTTCATGCCTTAGATTTAAATCTTTTGTTCATCTTGAATCAATTTTTGTAAGTGGTGAGAAGTAGGGGTGCAGTTACAGTCTTTTATATGTGGTTATCCAGTTCTCCCAGCACCATTTATTGAATAGGGATTCTTTTCCCCAGTGTATGTTCTTGTTCGGTTTATCAAGGACTGCATCTTACAGATGGCTGTAAGATGTTAGTTTCATCTCATGGTTTTTTATTTGGTTTCAAATATCAATGTGTCTATTTTGGCCTTGTAGTATAGCCACAAGTCTAGTAGAGTGATACCTCTGGCTTTGTTTTATTGCTAAGAATTGCCTTGGCTATATGAAGTTTCTTCTGGTTCCATAGAAAATGAAGAATTCTTTTTTCTAAATCTTGAAAGTATGATGATGGTATTTTAATGAGGATTGCATTGAATCTGTAGATTGCTTTGGGTGGTATAGACATTTTGATAATGTTGATTCTTTCCAGCCATGAGCATGGAATGTTCTTCCATTTGTTAATATCTTTTGCTATTTATTTTCTTGGTGTTTCATAATTTTCTTTGTAGAGGTCCTTCATCTCTTTTGTTATGTATACTCTTAGGTATTTCATTTTTTTTTTTTTCGAAGCTACTGTTAAGGGAATTGTGTCCTTGATTAGTTTCTCATATTGGTTGTTATTAGCATATACAAAGGTTACTGATTTGTGGACATTGATTTTATATCCTGAGACATTGCCACACACACACACACACACACACACACACTTATGTATTTATATTTTGAGACAGAGTCTTATTTTGTTGCTCTTAGTAGAGTGCCATAGTGTCACAACTTACTTACAGCAACCTCAAACTCTGGGGCCTAAGTGATTCTCTTGCCCCAGCCTCCCAAGTAACTGGGACTACAGGTGCCTGCCACAATGCCTAGCTATTCTTTTAGAGATGAGGTTTTGCTCTGGCTCAGGCTGGTCTTGAATTTGTGAGCTCAGGCAATCTACTGGCCTCGGCCTCCCAGAGTGCTAGGATTACAGACATGAGTCACTGCAACTGGTAGACATGGTATATTTTTTGATCACTTCCAGGAATCCTGTGGTTGAGTCTTTGGGGTCCTTTAAGTATAAGATCATGTTCTTGCAAAAGCAAGAGTTTGACTTCCTCTGCACTCATTTGGATGCCCTTTATTTCCTTCCCCTGCCTGATTGTATTGGCTAGAACTTCCAGCACTATGTTGAATAGTAGTGGTGATAGAGGACAATCTTGTCTGGCTCCAGTTCTTAGTGGAAAAGCTTTTAGTTTTCTTGATTCAGTATAATATTAGCTGTATGTTTCTTGTAGATGGCTCTGATCCGATTCAGAAATGTGCCAACTATGCCTATATTCTTACGTGTTCTACTTAGAAAAGGATGCTGAATTTTATTGAATACTTTTTCTGCATCTATTAAGATGCTTCCATTGATATGGTAAATTATGTTCATGGACTTGTGTATGTTAAGCTAGCCTTTCATCCTGGGAATGAAGCCTACTTGATCATGATGAATGAATTTTTTGATTTATTGGCTAGGATTTTATTGAAAAAAT